TGTTTTAAACAGAGGAACTTTAATTGAAAGAATTGTTATAAAAGTGTTGAAAGGAGTAGAACAGCTAAAATTAAAACCATTAACCACATCAAGTGCTGAAAAGGATGTGGAGCAATTGGAATTCTGTCACACTGCGGGTGGGCATGTAAAATAATACAGTAGTGTCCCCATATCTGTGGTTTTGCTTTTTTTTTCCTTTTTGTCTTTTTTCATGTCCGGCAACGGATCGCAACCCTCGGTGTCGCGCCTGTACCGGACCAGGACCGGCAACGGGATCGCAACCCTTGGTGCTGCACCCACACCTCGCTCAGCCAGTGAGTGGGAACTGGTCTGTATGTGGGATCCGAACCCTCAACGGGAGCGCCGCTGCACTCCCAAGCGGCGCACTGTAGCAGTGCGCCACCGGGCCGGCCCCTGTGGTTTTGCTTTTAATGTTTCAGTTAACCATGGTCAACCATGGTCCAGAAGTAAGTAAAAACAGTACAATAAGATATTTTGAGAAACAGAGAAAGAGACAATGTTCACATAAATTTATCACAGTATATTGTTACGGTTATTCTATTTTATTATCAGTTATTGTTGTTAACCTCTTACTGTACCCAATTCATAAACTTTATCATAGGTATGCATCTTTGAATATGATCTTTGAATATTAATCCTTGTGCTCATAACAGTGTTTCAGGGTTTACTAATTTTTTTAAACGTAGTTTTACTTAAACAAGTAATTTAAAAATAAATCGTCAATGCAAAAATTCAAAAATACATATAATGCCAAGGTTTTAATGACCCATCACAATCTCACTCCTCTTTTGAGAATCACTGCTGTTTGGGGCGGGGGGCAGTTGTAGCATCCCACCCTTTTACTTTGCACTTACCTATGGGTGTACATGTGTAATCGCATGTTCTGTTTTGAATAAACTTTTACATAAGTGGTTTGGTGGATTGCAAAATTGGTCATAACCTTTTCATCTCATCTCATTGAGAGGTGGAATTTATTTTCTCACCCCTTGAGTCTGGGCTAACCTTGTGACTGGCTTTGACCAAAATAATGCAGGAAAAGTGATGTTGTTCCATTTCCAAACCTACGACTCGAGAGGCCTTGTAGCTTCTTCTCTCACGATCTCAAAACTCTGAAAGGAGCATGAGATCAAGCCTGGGCTAGCCACCTGGAGAACAAGAAACTACAGGGGAAAAGGCCTCAGGCACCCTGTCTATTTATCAGGTGAATGCAAATGTGTATGTTCACCTGACGTTAGCTGAGCCCAGACCAAACCATAAGAACTGCCCCTTCAGGCCCAGCCCAAATCGCTGAACTGCAGAATTTCATTTTGGTTTTTCCTTTTTGTCTTTTTTCGTGACCGGTAATGGGATCACAACCCTCAGTGTCGCACCCGTACCGCGACCGGCAACGGGATCGCAACCCTCGGTGTTGTGCCCGCACCGCTCTCAACCAGTGAGCGGACCAGTCTGTATATGGGATCTGAACCCTCAGTGGGAGCGCCACCGCGCTCTCAAGCGCTGCACTCTACCGAGTGCGCCACTGGGCCGGCCCCTCGTTTTGGTTTTTTATGAGCAGAAGCTAACTGGTAGAAGAGCATATGCTAACCAGTTTTAAAACTTTGTCTCCCGTTACTCGTTATGTTATACGTATAGATCTATCTTATTCCTTTTAACAGATACATAAATTTCCATGTTGTGAATTCCCCATAGTTTATTTAATATTTCCTCCATGATGGACATTTGAGTAGTTTCTTCCTTCCTTTGTTTCTTCTGCCTTCCTTCCTTTCTCTCTCTCTTTTTTGTATCGTGATTAGTATCCCTATAGCTTTTACAGATATTTATCCTACCGTGTCTTTTTTCTGGTAGTATTGATTATGGTATCTTTTTTTTCATTCAGAACTTTAAAACGGTACAATAAAAATTGATTAATCTTTTCCTTAATGGCTTCTCTATTCTAAGTTTTGCTCGAGAAAGAACAAATTTCCAATCAAAATTGTCCCTCTTTTTTTTTTCTAATACAGGATTTTATATAAATATCTGTGCATGTGTGTATGTGTTTTGTATTTTTTTTATGTGATGGTCAGTCAGTTGTGGCCACAAGAGAAGATACTGGAGAGGCACAGGAAAAAACAAAGTTTATTATACTCACAGGTCCTAGAGGCAGGAAGCATTGCATGTCATGCACGATGACACGGGAAAGACACCAGAGTCATCAGAAGGCAGAAGATGGGAGCTAAGGGAAGGTTCCAGCCATGGCCTTCATTGACGCTTCTGAGGGAAGGTCAAGGCAGGGCAAGGTAAATGGTTTCGAACCGGCCAGTGTGAACAAGTTTAGTGAGCTTTGGGCCACAGGGGCGCTTTCTAGTTAGCTGGCACCTGGCCCTGGGATGTTTAAGGCAGAGGAATATTGCCTCCTGGGCTGCAGGGGCCAGACAGAGGAGGTCTGTCTGGATTGGTTAGTTTGCATGTCAGAGGCATGCTCCTGGCGAGCCCTTGCTATCTCTAAGAACTGGTGATCCCTCAGGGCCGAGCCCGCGGAGCACTCGGGAGAGTGCGGCGCTGGGAGTGCAGCGACGCTCCTGCCGCGGGTTTGGATCCTATATAGGGATGACCGGTGTCCTCACTGGCTGAGCGCGGTGTGGGTGACACCACACCAAGGGTTGCGATCCCCTTACCAGTCACGAAAAAAGACAAAAAAAAAAAAAGGGTGATCCCTGGGATGGATAGTCGTTCACCAGCCAGAAGATTTTTTTAAGATGTCAAAACAGTATAATATACAGAAAATTTTAAAATATTTACAATACTCTGTGAGTGTCTGTGTGTGCATTAAGGTTTAGCTCATTAATCCTCTGAAATTTGTTTCAATTTATAGTGTGAAATAGGAAAATATTTTTGCCAAGTTGATAGCCAATTGTCCTGAACAACATTTATTGAGTAGTTCACCATTTTTCACTAATTTGAAATGCCATCTTTACTCTATATAAGACTAATCTGCTTCAAGACTGTCCTATTCTATTGATCTGCTTGACTGTTACTGGATTAATAACAGATTACTACCACAAGAGCACAACTACTGCTTTATAGTACATTTTGACATTGGTAAAGTGTCCAGTATTCTACCCCAAATTTGTTGAATATTCTTGAATATTTTCTCTCTGAAATTAATTTCAGAATCAATTTTAGAATTCCATGAAAAGTCATTTTGAATTTTAATTAGGATTGTATTAGTCCATTTCTGTTGCTTATAGCAAAATACCCAGAACTGGGTAAGTTATAAGGAAATGAAATTTATTGCTTACCGTTTCAGAGGCTGGGAAGTCCAAAGTCCAGGGAACACATTTGGTGAAGGCCTTGCTGGTGGCAACAGTGACCCAGGAATCTCACATGGCAGAAAATGGTGGAGCAGAGAGTTCCTCATGGACTGTCCTTTTAAAGCCCTCAGAACCACGCCCCTTATCACCATTTTTAATCCATTCACTACTGCACAGTCCTACAATCCAATCACCTCTTCAAGGCTCCACCTTTCAATTACCATAATAGGATTTCCCACCCTCTTAACAGTCACAGTAGAGATCAAGCTACTAACACTTAAAACTTGAGGGACCAATCCGTATCAAGTATTATACTGACTTTATAGATTAATTTGTCATTGATTGAACTTTTTTTTTTTTTTCCTTTTTTTTGTCTTTTTTCGTGACTGGTAACGGGATTGCAACCCTCGGTGTCGCGCCCGTACCGAGGACCGGCAACGGGATCGCAACCCTCGGTGTCGCGCCCGCACCGCGCTCAGCCAGTGAGCGGGAACCAGTCTCCACATGGGATCTGAACCCTCGGCGGGAGCGCCGCTGCACTCCCAAGCGGCGCACTCTCCAGTGCGCCACCGGGCCGGCCCATCGATTGAACTTTTAACAACAGTGAATCTTATTGTTGAAGATAATGATATTCCTTCTTATTTATTCACATATTCTTTTATGTCCTTCAGTAAAGTTCTGTAGTTGTTTTTTATTCTTTTTTTTAATGTACTGCACATTTATTCTTCCACTTTGTCTTTGGTATTTCATAGTCTTTTAAGCTATTTACATTTTCTAATACATTTTAAAACTTATTTTTGCTCACATCTAAAAAAATTCTCTTGAACATAGTTCCCCCCCCCCACCCCTGGCTATTTTGGTAAATGTTTATTATTCCAATAAATTGCCTGTTGATTCCTATGGATTTGCAGTCAATAATCTGGGTTAAGTTGAAAACAATGAGAGTTTTCAACCTTTATTTTTACTTTATTTATTTTCTCATAGCTCTGGGAGCTACAAGTCCGAGATCAAGGTGCTGGCAAAGTTGGTTACTGGTGAAGCCTCTCTCCTTGGCTTGCAGACAGATGGTCTCCTCCTCCCTGTGTCTTCACACAGCCTTTCCTCTGTGCAAACAGGTGGAGAGAGAGAGAGAGAGCGTTCTGGTTCTCGTCCTCTTATAAGGACACCAGTTGTAATGTATCCAGGACTCCAAATTTTGTTCTTCTCAGATGTATCAAAGACTACAAAGCATTCTCTGTTAATGGTGGAAAATAAACAGCTTCTTAAGAAACAAGACTTCATCATGCAAGGGTTTATAGATTTATGTCCAGTTCTTTGATTAAAAAAAAGAGAAAAAGCCTTTCTTGAGTCAGAAATGTTTTTCAAACCATTATAGAATAACAACTATGACTTTCCACTTTTTATTTTTATTGCTGGGTGGAAAAAGATGACTCTCTACAATGCCTACACAAGGAGGATATTATTCTACAAATAAGGACCCAGCATGACATTTATGAGAAAGCTGGGGTCCTCCTGTGCAAAGCTGATTGGTGGTCAGCCAATGGGCTCCAGGGCACTGCAAATAAAGGCACCCTCTCCACTGGGCTGGGCTGTTGCAGAGTAAAGCGTTGCCTCTGCCTTGGGAAAATGCTAACCCCCTGCCCTAGCAACACACACCTGTGGGCAGCAAAGAGAAACCAGACTCTGAAAATGAAACATCTTCTTTACCAGTATCCCTTCATCTTGGCCATCTACTGCTTCTGCATGCTACAGACTCCGTCCTCAGGTAAGGCACCCTCATCAGACCCCGCAGGGCCTGCCTGAGCTCTCAGGAAGACTGAGATCACTTTGATCCCTTGGCGTGGTCCTGGAGAGTGTAAAGCTTTATCCCCCCACTTACTCCGTTTCCGCTCTCTTGCTTTCTGGCTTTGTGTTTGTTTCTAACCTTTAAGAGAGAATGGACTGAGTGGAATGCCTCAGCCTTTTGCCAAAGGAGACTTTTCCCAGCGGGACTGTCTTTAAACAGCTCCTACCCCAAGGGTGCTCTGAGTATGTGCCACTGAAACTGAAGGGAGAGGTACAGCCTGGGTTGAGTTGGGGGAAGACCTCACTTCTCAGCCATTTGTGCTCCCGGGATTCTAAAAAGACAAGAACAGAGACGGTAAAATTGAATTTATAGTCCCAAAGACTGGGAAATGACGGGCAGTTGGAGAGGGAAGGAGAGGAGCGCGCACAGGAAAGAGGAATCTTCCAAAGCCTTTCCATGGGCTCCTGGAGGCAGAATCCCAGAGAGCCCGGGGAGGCCCCATCTTCCTGGGCTGAGGCTCTGTCCGAGGTGCTGAGCGGGCGCGGGCGTCGCTTCAGCAGCTTCTGAGAAGCACCAGCGTGTTTGCAGGGAAGCAGGAGTGGGCTGGGGGTCTGTAGTTGGAACCAAAGGATGCGGGGAAACGTGCGGTGGCAGGACGGCTATGGTTGGAAACACGGACTATTTCAAAATTAAAAATTTTTCCATTAGAATTGAGATTAAGTGGAGTAGAAAATCTTTGAAAATATTTCCAAAGAGAAAATATGTTTCAAACAGTACATTTGTTTTGTCATATCCTACAGTGTAATCACAAAACCTGGGCATTGGAAGGAACCATGGAGGTCACAAGGTTTAACCCTTCATGGTGTGCAGAGACCCTTATGTGGTTTTCTGCAGAAGATCTTCCAGATTCTTTGTGACGATTCACTACCAGCCTAAGAAAGCCAGTTGCTGCCTCTTCTGAGCTTCAATAGAATCCTGTTTATATTGTATTTATGAAAATTCATTATTAACTTTTACCTATTTGTCTCTATATTTACAACCATCTCCTTCTTTTTCCTATTTGGTTTTATGTTTCCTGATGTTAGGGTTGTTCCAGTCTTTATCTTTGCATTAACACAGAACTTCTTAATAAATACTTATTTATGAAAATTCATTATTAACTTTTACCTATTTGTCTCTATATTTACAACCATCTCCTTCTTCTTCCTATTTGGTTTTATGTTTCCTGATGTTAGGGTTGTTCCAGTCTTTATCTTTGCATTAACACAGAACTTCTTAATAAATACTTACAGGATTGGTTTGCATTACTTTAGATTATGGAATGGTTCCAGTCATCAAAAAATTTACACTAAGCTGAAATATGATCACATGCAACATCTGACCATTATCCCTAGTTCTGTCCTTTGGAAATACACACAATGAGACAAATATCTCTTACTTATGACAGTTTTCAAAATAGTCAAAGTCAGTTAAAATAAACTTCCTGATGTTTCTCTCTCCAGAGCAAACTATGCTCAGTTACTCTAACCTTACCTCATATCCTATCATTTCAAGTCAGACTATTACATTTCGAGGTTTGGATGCTATTATTTGAATTCAGCGTAAAGTTGCCTTAGCTTTCTCTTGGCTCAATAGAGAGATTATAGGAAGCAAAATACCGCTCAGTCTTTTCCTGTCTTTCTTTCTTTCGTTTTTTTTTTATAAACTACTCTTGAGCCATATGTTCCCTGTCCCACATTTTTAAAAGCTAAGATCAGGGATTCATATTTATCTGTTTAGTTTAATCTTGTTAGTTTTTACCTAACCAGTCGATTCTTTCAACTGCAGTGTTAGCTGTTTCTCCAAGTGTTGTATCACACGTAAGTGAGAAGTGTTCATTTAAGTCAGAGGTTGACAGGGTCCAGCCACATGCTGGTAGCAGCCTTCCCCAGAACCTCACCCCTGGAGAGTGTGAGGTAGCAGAGAGGCAGGTTTCTGTATGTCTTAAAAGTTCCAAGGATGATTCTAATGTACATAGTTTGTTGACAACATTTTATGATATTCCATCCTCATAAATTCCATCAAAATACAAACTAAATTGTATCCCAGGTATTTTTCCTCTTTTCTGAGTTGCAAACATCTGCACTGAAGACTCCTGGTAAATTAAAAATCATGCTGTTCTTAATTAATTTGGCACAAATCTCAGATTTGCTAGTGGTAGATAGAAGTGTGTTTTCTTTGTAAATCCTTTTAACAACATCATATTATATTTTACCCTCCCCTTGACCTCTTTTGTATGGTTCTTTGGCATTTTATTGTTTTAATAAAATCTCTGTATGTTTTTCGTGTTAAAGATTTAGAAGTAAATGCTATGACCTCTTTTCAGTAATTGATGTTTTATGATTTCCCACAATAGGATTTCCTCAGCCTTCAGCTGATCTTCCAGATGGCTTGGATATTGTGCAGCTTGAGGTATGCTATTGTTCAATCATGTGAAATTTTTATTTAGTCTGGGCCTTAAAATTATCATGTGGATAATGTTCACTTGAAATCATTTTAAGATCAGATTTGGGCTGCAGCAGAAGGCATCCTGAGAGTCGTGTTGAAATTCACTGCCACCATGTGAGAAGATAATGCAAGGTTCATTAATGGGACAGTTTAGAATTTTAAATATGTTGAAATAGAATTCTATTGACTAAAGAATCTATACTTATCTTTGATTTTCTTTCTGTTTTTTATTTTTTAGTGGCTGGCACATTGTCTGAGTCAGTGGAAAACTCTTTCTAGCCAACCTAAGGTAAAAAAAAAAAAAAATATATATATATATATATATATATATGCATAGGATAATTCCTGTAGTTATAACAGTGTATGTGTTGAACCATAACTGATATCTGTAATGAACACACTCTTTTGCTATCTATAGTAGAATGCTATGTGTATGTGTAAGTGTGTGTGTGTGTGTGTGTGTGTGTGTGTGTAAGAATAGAGTTTTAGAATATATCAAGTGAGGGCCAGCCCCTTGGCTCACTCGGGAGAGTGCGGTGCTGGCAGCGCCGAGGCTGCGGGTTCGGATCCTATATGGGGATGGGCGGTGCGCTCACTGGCTGAGCGTGGTGCGGACAACACCGCACCAAGGGTTGCGATCCCCTTACCAGTCCAAAAAAAAAAGAAAAAGAAAAGAAAAAAGAATATATCAAGCGAATCTCTGAAATATAAACTACCATGACATATTGGTAGTTCATGTGTATTCTTACAATTATTGTAATTATATATACATATATAATTTAATTTTTTGCCTATGTCATGATATATTATATTGTACACCACAAATTGATAGACTGTGATGTAGCAGTTCTCCAAAACAGTAGATCTCACGTAAAGAATCTAACAGCAACTAGTAACCAATGAATACAAGGTAAATGTTGCTTTAATTGAAAGTGCAAAAGGGTGGTCTCAGGGTAGTCTATGATTTTTAGCATCGTCTGCATGTTTTTGCTTCGAGGCGCATCTCCTCTTCCTCCCTCACCTCCCCTATCCCACGGCATGCCATGTTCCAGCCACGTTGAATTTCTCATTATTCCCCAAATACACCAGACTCTTTATGCCTTTGCACAGCCTTTTCCTGAGCCATAAATGCCTTTTCCTCCTTCACAGGCTGCAGCTCACAGCCCAGACTCTAAAACCAAACTACCTGAGATCAAAACCCAGCTCTATTAACCTTAGCAGTTTCTTTATCACTCTGTGCCTCAGTTTCCTCGTCTATAATATGGGGGTAATAGTTTCGCTAGCCCCATTGTCGTCATGAGTTTGTCTTTTGTCTTTTTCCGTGTCCGGCAACGGATCGCAACCCTCAGTGTTGCCCCCGTACCGGACCGGGGACCGGCAACGGGATCGCAACCCTCGTCGTTGCTCCCGCGCCTCACTCAGCCAGTGAGCGGGAACCGGTCCGTATGTGGGATCCGAACCCTCGGGCGGGAGCGCCGCCGCGCTTCCCAAGCGGCGCACTTATCCAGTGCGCCACCGGGCCGGCCCATCATGCCTATTTCTTTTTATTTGCAGTTTGCCATTATGTATTTGTTTGGAGACAACTGTCATATCTCATCTTCAGAAATAATATTTATAGCCTTGGTACCCAGAGCAAAAGTTCAGGGTGAGAGCTCAGAGTTCTCCATCTCTTTGTTGAGCCTCCCCACCTTGCAGTAAAGGCGCTTCCCTACCCCTCACAAGAAGGCTGTGATGGTGTCCCCTGCATAGCAGAGGCACGGGAAGTGTCACGGTCACATCTGCTACGTCAGTATTAAATTAGGTTGTGGGGTCCACCGAGTGCAAGGGTCCACTCAGAAGGAATTTTCTTCCACATGCTCCATTCTTCTGAAGGCAATCACATTCATCATTTCCAATTGCAGAAGAGCAAGGGGTTGCTCAGTGAACAAAACCACCCACATTTTAAAGCTATTAATACAGAGACTGTGGCTATTCCTAGACTTGCTGCTGCCCCCAAATGTGACCTTCAGCATGTCACTGCATCTCCTGGGGCTTTGGTTTCCTCAACCGTTCAATGTCTGGATGAGCTACCTGGACCCTAAGTCCATTCCTGTTCTCATCTCCAAAAGAGGCCAACTGTGTGACTCTTAATTTTGAGGCAATTCAGAAAGCGGTGACATTCTGCAAATAATGCCATCTGCAGAAACTCTTTGTGTTTTGTGTTTCTTGTCACCACATGGGATGAGAAGAAGTTTAGATGGGAAAAGGGGCAGTAGGTTCTTGTGAACAGAGCCCTGCTATTCATTCATTCAAAAAAGATATTTTTTGAGAGCATGCCATGTGCCAGGTGCTGGAGATATGGCAGTGATCAAAACAAATAAAACCACCTGCTCTCGTGGAACTTACATTCTAGTTGGGAAAGTGAATAATAAACAAGACAGATGAGGAACATTTTAATGACAATTTTTCTCTAAAAAGAAAAAAATAACACCTTGATTTTAGCCCAGTGCGACCCATCTTGGACTTGTAACTGCCAGAATCATAAGATAATAATTTTGTATTGTTATAAGCCACTATGTTTGTGATAATGTGTTATAATATCAATAGGAAACTAACACATGTACGAGTATTTAAAGAAAAAGCTTTGCGTAGCCACATATCCACAGTGGAGGACAACTGTACATTTATGTGTTTAAAGCTAAAATAAACTAATTTTAGCTAAAATAAAAAGTATGTAATAAAATAAAATAAAAATAAATAAAGTGAGAAAGGTGCATATGAAATGTTCAGAGGGTGA